TCAGACCTTCAGGTATGCCAATTCATAAACTCTGGTATTAAAAGTCGGTGTTCCGGTTATGTTATTGAGGAATATTGACTAGAAATACGGTTTGTGTAATAGAACAAGGTTGCGAGTTATAGCATTGAGTAAGCGTGTTATAGAAGCACATATAATTTCTGGAAGTAATATAGGAAAACGTACGTTTATTCCAAGAATGGCACTGACCCGGTCGGATAAAATGATTCATTTCACCTTTCAGAGAAGACAGTTTCCACTTGCTATATGCTTTGCGATGACAATAAACAAAAGTCAATGACAATCGCTATCAAAGGTTAGTTTGTTTTTGAGACAACCAGCGTTTACTCATAGACAGTTGTATATTGCATTGTCTAGAGTTAAAAGCAAGGACAAATTGAAAATATTAATTTTACACAATGAAGGTAACCTTACCAATAAGACATCTAATGTTGTATTCAAATATGATTTCTAACAATTATTTAGAATATTTCATTAATGATTTTTTTTTTGTGTAATTTGGGTTCAATTACATATTATTATTATTATTATTATTATTATTATTATTATTATTATTATTATTATTATTATTATTATTATTATTATCATTATTATTATTATTATTATTATTATTTTGTAATTTGGATTCAATTATATATTTACACAATAACGTCTTTACTTATAAGTAGTGTATTAATTTAATAATTGGTTGATGTTCAAAATTTTATATTAATTTTGGGTTAATGACCTAAGGGGTAATAAGGTTTTAACTTTGTTCACATAAGGTCTTTAAGGTTTTTTTTGTACATATTACACCGATATGACTGTTATAAACCGTTTAAAAAAGGTAATAAGGTTTTAATTTTGTCCATATTAGGTTCCTAAGGACTTTTTTTGTACATATTACACCAACATGATTGTTATAATCGTTTAAAAAAAGGTAATAAGCTTTAATTCTATCCATATTAGGTCCTTATTTTTAATATTTTTATCATTTCATCTAACTATTTTATAATTTATATTAGTATCTAGTTAGATAACTTCATCATTTCATATTTTCATTTTAACCGCTCATTCACCACAACAACGATTTCAATCGAAAAGTTACATAACAATTTTTATTTTTCATTTTTATGAAAAAAAAAGCTAATAATAATGAAAGTCTTAATGATTAAGACTATGTTTGGCGCTACAACTAGCTTATAAGCTAGTTTATTTTTTGATATTTTTTAAGTTGTCATGTTTAGCAAGTAAAAAAAGTAGTTTATAAACTAATCTTTTAAAAAGCTACTTAGACTAGTTTTTTAAAAGTTTTTTTTAAATTTTCGAATATACCTCTTAATTAATTAAGAAAACATATTTTTTAAATGTCATTTTATGTCATTATATAAATTTCAAATAGCTTATAAGTCATTGGCGGAGCTAGAATTAAAGTAAAAGAGTATCTCCGGCAAGTAATGGGGTATCTCCGATAAGTAATTGTCTATCGGGGATACCCAATTGGCGGAGCCATTACTTACCGGGATATCTCATTATTTTTCGGGAATACTCTTTTACTTTGACCTGGCTCCGACACTGGCTTACGTAACATTTTGATTGAAAGCGTGGTTGTGGTGAATGCGCGACTAAAATGAGAATATGAAATGATGAAGTCATCTAACTAGATACTAATATAAATTGTATAAAAGCTAGATGAAATGATAAACATATTAAAAATATGGACCTAATGTGGACTCAGTTAAATCTCATTACCCTTTTTTAAACGGTTATAATAATCATGTTGGTGTAATATGTACAATAAAAGATGTTGGTGATTTATTGTGGACAAAATTAAAACCTTATTACATTTTTTTAAACGGTTATAACAACCATGTTGATGTAATATGTACAAAAAAAAACTTTAAATACCTAATGTGAACAAAGTTAAAACCTTATTACCCTCCTAAGTCATAAACCTATTAATTTTTTTTAACAAACCGATACATGAATTTTACACTTACTGATAGAATACAGTAAAGATATGAACCGATACATGAATTTTACACTTACTAAGGTCGGACGGAGTGGACCGCGGGATCGGTTCCCACATTTATGCACACCGCACCGTGGGTGCAGGAAAGGAGCGACGCGAAGAGGGTGGGGGGAGATAGTCCCTCTCTCTCTTTCTTCTAACCATTGGCTGACGCAATTTTTTTTTTCTTTTTTACTCCAAACGGCTATATAGCCGTTACATGTGTGTATATATATATATATATATATATATATATATATATATATATATATATATTCTTTTTTCCTTCCCTTTTCTTAACCTATAAATACTCAAACATTTTATCATTTTTTTAACTCATAACCTATATTTCTCTCTAAAAAATATTATTTAAAATGTCATCATCTTCATCATCCAATTCGACGGCGGTAGAGGAGGCTAAGTTTATCGGTTCCGTCATGGCGAAAACGGTTGCATACTATCAAAACCGACTAGGTGAAACATCACGTGCACGACCTAACCTAAGAAAGTCGTCGTTACGTAGAAATCACGAAGCCGGACACGATCGTCTTATAGAAGATTATTTTGTAGATGACGCCGTCTACGCTGTAAAGTTTCGACGTCGGTTCCGGATGAGGAAGAAACTATTATTGCGTATTGTTGGCGATTTGGAAGGCCGCTTTCCATATTTCCAATGGAAAATGGATGCAAGGGGAAAAAAGGTTTCTCTCCCATTAAAAAATGCACGACTTCAATTCGTCAGCTAGCATACAACATGGGCGCAGACAAATGGGACGAGTATTTTAGGATGTCAGAGCGTACCTTGCGGGAATCTGTGTACAAGTTCTGCAAAGGGATCTGTTTAGTTTATGGGCAACGATATTTGCGCAAACCAACTCTCAACGATATCCACCAATTGTATACGTTGCATGAAGGCAAACATGGATTCTCTGGAATGATAGGTAGTATCGATTGCATGCATTGGAGTTGGTCATTATGCCCCAACGCATGGCGTGGTTAGTACATGAGAGGCGACCATAAAGAGTCGATGATCATTCTAGAGGCTATCGCATCACATGATCTTTGGATATGGCATGCATTCTTTGGTCCAGCTGGTGCAAACAATGACATCAATGTGCTAGACTAGTCGTCTGTATTCAACGATATCTACCTTGGAAAGTCACACGATGTACCTTTTCAAGCAAATGGGGTAGCATATAAGTATGGATACTATCTTACTGATGGTATATATCCTCCCTTGTCTGTTTTGTGAAATCGTTTACATGTCTTAACGACCCGAAAAGGAAAAAGTTTAAAGAGGCGCAAGAGTCAGTTAGGAAGGATGTGGAACGAGCATTTTGTGTACTTAAGAGACGTTGGCAAGTACTAGCGGTCGGGGCAAGGTCATATGAGGTGAAAAGGTTACAACACGTAATGTATGCATGTATCATATTGCATAATATGATTCTTGAAGACGAAGGAATAACGATATGCCGATACAAGGAAAATGAAGTTTTGCCAAATGTCAAAGGAGTAGCCGTTGGTACACAAGAATATAGGGTGAATAGAAGAAAAGTACACAATCGCGACATTCATCAGACCCTTCGTGCTGATTTGGTGGAGCACATTTATAGGACTCATATTCAGCCCCCGTACGAGTTATCTCACGATGATTTGTTTGACAAATCAGACGAGGATTTTGATATGTTCGTCGAGAGTGAAGATTCTGACGACGAGAGTGATCTGGGGAAAATGATCCAGACGATCAAGGCGATGACGAAGACGATGATTCCTAGTGACGTATCTAGGTTTAAATAAAATTAAGATATTAATTAATAATTTTTACTATGTTGTAGGTTGTTTGATTATTATTATTATTATTATTATTATTATTATTATTGCGGTTTTTTTTTTCTACTTATTTAAATATTAGGGTTAATGTAATTTTTATTTTACTTAATGAAATGTTTTTTCTTTTTAATTAAATTTTATGTTTGATATTAATTTAAAAATTATAAATAAAAAAGTATTTTATTTAATATAAAAAAAAGTGAGGGAAAGGCTTCCCGCATATTCCTTAACTTTTAGGTGAGAAAAATGAAAGTGAGGGAAAAAAAGGTATAGCCCACCAAAAATAAAGGAAACTTCCCTCCCACTCCTTCCAATAGAATCCAGTAAAGATATGCCGGGATAATGACTTAGGAGGGTAATAATGTTTTCTGTTTGTCCATTTTATGTCCCTAACGTATTTTTTGTGCATATTACACCATTAAGATTATTATAACCGTTTACAAATAGTCCTTTTAACAGGAAGAAGCCGGTAAAAGGATTATTTATAAACGGTTATAACAACCTTAATGGTGTAATATACATAAAAAAATATGTTGGGGACCTAATATGGACAAACGAGAAACGTTATTACCCTCCTAAGTCATTATCCCATAAAACTATAAATCCCTATAATAAATTTTTACTTTTTAAATAAGAAACTTATAGGTCTTGGGATTGGTAGTTTGAATATTTTTAACCTCGGCTTTCTTTATAAATGGAAGTGGCGGTTTCTTAATGATAATGGAGCTCTTCGGGTTATAATTGTCAAATTTTGTTATGGGGAAGGTGGTTGTTTTCGGACGATTCGAGAATAGGAATTGGAGGGGGTGTTTGGCAAAAGATTATAGGATCCATTAATAACCTCCAAGAAAATGGTTGTATTCCTTCTAATTACATGTATAGAGTGGTGGGGGATGAGACTCAAACGAGGTTCTAGAAGGATGTTTGGTGCTTGGATATTCCTCTTAAGGAGCGGTTCGGGAGGCTCTTTGCTTTGACCTTTAATCAAGATGCTCGAGTAAGTGAATAATGGGATCCGGGGGGATGTAATTTTCATTTGCGTCAGGGGATTAAAGGAGGGGCTGAATCGACCCAATTTGATTATCTTGTAGAAGGGCTTGGTGCTTGAATATTCCTCTTAGGGAGCGGTTCGGGAGACTCTTTGTTTTAGCCTTTAATTAAGATGCTCGAGTAAGTGAATAATGGGATCCAGAAGGATGTAATTTTCATTGGCCCCTCCTCTAATCCCCCAACACCAATGAAAATTACATTCCTCCAGATCCCATTATTTACTTACTCGAGCATCTTGATTAAAGGCCAAAGCAAAGAGCCTCCCAAACCGCTCCCTAAGAGGAATATCCAAGCACCAAACATCATTCTAGAACCTCGTTTGAGTCTCACCCCCACCACTCTATACATGTAATTAGAAGGAATATAACCATTCTCATGGAGGTGGTTAATAGATCCTACAATCTTTTGCCAAACACCCCTCCAATTCCTATTCTCGAATCTTCCGAAAAACCACTACTTTCCCCATGACAAAATTTGACAATTTTAACCCAAAGACCTCCCTTGTCATTAAGAAACCGCAACTTCCATTTATAAAAAAGACCGAAGTTAAAAACATCCAAACTACCAATCTCAAGACCTACAAGTTTCTTATTTAAAAAGTAAAAATTTACTATAAGGGTTTATAGTTTGATGGGATAATGACTTAGGAGCGTAATAACGTTTTCTGTTTGTCCATATTAGGTCCCCAACGTATTTTTTGTGTATATTACACCATTAAGATTGTTATAACCGTTTATAAATAATCATTTTACCGGCTTCTTCCTATTAAAATGATTATTTGTAAACGGTTATAATAACTTTAATGGTGTAATACGCATAAAAAATACGTTAAAAACCTAAAATGGACAAACATAAAACATTATTAGCTTCCTAAATCATTATCCCAAATATGCCACATTTGTTGAGCTGACGTGACTTTTCTAGTAACGTCTCGCTAAATCCTTAGACTTAAAACATTTTCATTTTGGTAAATAGTGTTTATTTTATTGGTGATGATAACCAATTATTTTAGTAAATCGGTAATCGGAAAACCAATTAAACCCTAGCCTTTCTTTTCCGTTTTGTCCCTCGGGATTTCAAAGGTTTGCTTCGACAGTCGTCGCCGTCGCTGTGCCCTCGTCTCCGTCGCTGTCACTCCAGTCATAGGCCCAACCAAGCACCGGCTCACAAGCCCATAACTGATTTGCACTGATTGTCTCCCTCTCTCGACGTTTGGAGAAGCTAGGGTTTGGATTGCACTTTCTGCTCAAGAACCGGAAATCTGAGGTAAACAAAGATTCGACCTTCCACTTTGCGTCTATTCCACAATATTTATTGGTTTTCTTTCTTTAAATCGTATTTTAATCCACAAATTTGTGTAGAATTTCAACTTTTTGAATTAAGGAAGTATTAGAATTCATATCTTCCATCTCAACTTTCTACAATTATATTTTGATTCTATCATTTGTTAACATCATTAGTTTATTAGGAAGCTTACGAAGCTGTGTTAGATCATGACAGGAGGACATTCTGTGTCACATGAATCTGTTAAAAAGTAGCAATTGCTAGGTATCTTTATCAAGGTCTCTACTATCGTCCTTTCATTTGCATACGTCTGGCTGTTATCAGTTAGTATAGTTCTTTTTTCATAGGGGTTAGTAGCCATCATTTCTCTGTTGTTGTCTGGTTGAATTCTGAAACTCACTGTTGTATATGTTATAGGGCATACAGGAATGCATATGCCAAGTTTGATGCTTTTGCAACATAAATTTTACATCTACATTTGATCAGATTCGAATCGATGGTTTCTTGCTATAGAAAGTTTTGCTTGAATGATTCATGAAACACTTTCGTGTCTTGGAATTATCAGTTATATACTGTTTTCTCTGTTAAAGAAGTGGCTTTATATCACCATAGCTTAATGACTATTCTACCTATACATTAGCTATAAACTCATCTCTATTTCTGTTTCTGTTTATCATCTTTAAGTATCATCATGGCTGGCAATGCTGAACCAATTAATGAGCAAGAAGTTGCTGCAAAATATGGAAACATAAGAAGTGAAATGAATCAGATTTACTCAAAAATCACAGAACTAGAGATGGAAGTAAGTGAGCACTCATTGGTGATCAATGCCATTCAGCCACTGGATCCCACCAGACGTTGCTACAGAATGATTGGAGGTGTGCTTGTTGAGAGAACAATCAAGGAAGTATTGCCAGCTGTCCAACAAAACAAGGAAGGAATTGAAGTGGTGATTTCTAGACTTAATGAAGCTTTGGAGAGGAAGAAGAAGGAGCTCACTGATTTTGAAACTAAGTACAAGATTAGGATCAGGAAAAATGATGGGGAATCCATGGATGATAATAGCAAGAAAGAAGGGTCTGCCCAGGGTGTTCTTGTGGGTCCTGCAAATGCATGATGAATTTGGTATGTTTTTTTTGTTCGTGTTATCGTGCGTTTTCATAGACTGTTATAAACATGATTTGATCTTGAGATTTGTAAGAGTAAGATAATTAGTAGTTATGGTTTTTGCTACTTGTTTTTGAATTTGAATGCATGACCTCTGAAATAGTAAAGATTTTGTGGCCTATGATTTTGTGTTATGATTATTTTGCGATCCAATGTGTTGAAATGCTCACAAGTGATGTAGAAAAGAAGTAAAACAAACACATGAGGGGTGTTTGGTTTGCATAATGTTTTTGTAAGGAATGTAATAAGTCTAATGAATTGGAATCCAAAGGTAATGGAATTCTTTGTTGTCTTATGTTTGGTTTGCAAAGCTGCACAAAGAAATTCAAAACACCAAACAGCGATCTATTGATTTTTTTTATTTTAAAAAAGGGTAAATGACACAGATGGTCCCTATGGTTTAAGGTAATTTGCATGTTTGGTTCCTAACAACTTTTTTCTTTTAACACTCGGACCGTCTCTAATTTATATTTTTGTTGCACGTTTGATCCCTATCTGTTCTAAAAAGGTTGATTTACCCTTAATAATTTATTCACTTATTTATTATATATTTTTTTACCTTTTTTATTAATAATATATTACAAAAATGATTTTTTTAAAGAATCCCTAAAACCCTAAGCAACGTTAGGCATTCTCCCCCAACCCTTTCTTCTTCACCTATCATCTTCCACCATCACCATTCCATTTGCATTATCGGTCACTGCACTTGCATCATCGTTTACCTGTATCTTTGCTAACCACCCGAGCCAAACAAGGAAATCGCACCATTGCAACATGCACCATTCTTGTCCCCTTCCATCTATTACAATCTTGTCACTGTCGGCTCATAAGCCACCATACTCCCTCCTCCTGTGTTCCGGTAAAACTATACGAGGGCTCTGGCGACTACAACGTCACATAGGACTGGTGAGAAAACCCTCCATCTCTTTCCCCTCTTAACTTGTGGGAGTAATTTGTCTTTCTATTCCGCCTCTCTATCACATTTGAAACCAAACGACACCTGAAACACTTACCATGAACCTCTGATGAGCCCTGAAAATCTTAACACGTTTAAGACTTATGAATATACTCCGCCTCTTTATCCTCTGATGAGCCCTAAACCCTATCCCCATCGGAATCTACTCTCGAAGGAGGAGGTTGGTGTTTTTTTGATTTTGTGCAATTTGAAATCCATTTTTTTCATTAGATTGTGCACAAAATTAAGAAACAGCCAAGCAAGTTGGGGTTTTAATTGGTTTACATCATCGATGGGGTTGGGATTTATAGGAACTCTTGGTAAGATGAAGATCGATGTGTTAATAGGTGGGGCAGAGAGGCGTTCTTGCCAAATTAGAGAAAGGATCGATGAGTAGATTTATGGTGATCAAAATTTTGGAATTTCATGTTGCTACGGAAGAAGACGGTGACCGCAGGGGGAGTGAGGGGTGGTTTGGATCGGAAGAGGAGGTGATTTAATTATGATTTTCACTAATAAGAAATAATTATTAAATGAATTTAAAATATAAAAAAGTAGCAGTACAGGCAAAATAGTTTTTTTTTTTTTTTTTTTTTTCAAATGATAGGAACCAAAGACATAATAAAAACAAATAATAGGTACCATCTGAATTAAAAATACAAAAAAGGGATCAACAGATTACCCCAACCCCACATCCCTTTAAAAATGCCAGAATTTTCTTCCAGTAAAAATTTATTATTTATTAAGTCATGCTTTTTGAACTCCTTGAATGAAAACCAGTTAATTTCAAATTTGGAAACAATAATGCTGTCAAGATTATGTACACAGTCACAGATTAGTCGAGCAAAAAGATTGAAGATATCAAAATGGATAAAAAAAAGTGATAGGTAAAAGTAAAACTAATACATGCAAAATTCAATGTATTATACTAAACTAATTGGCACAAGAGGACGTGGAGCAATCAGATAGGTGTAGAACACAGTATATCCATGGACCTTGTTACACTGGATAACAGCTTCTTCCCCCCTTGGGCCTTATCGTCTTCGTTTAGCCAAAAAAATCTTGAACCCCACGGCCGACGAACACCCGATCGGAAAGCTCCGCCAAAACGGCATTAACAGTAAGCAAAACGACGCTGGAACCAGCAATAACGCCGAGCACAACCCCCGTCGTTCCGAGGACCTTATTGAACGCCGGCCACTCGATCCGACCTATCTCATCCACTACTCCGGCCCATACACTCTCATCCTTCTTAATCTCTCTATCCATCATCGCCTTTTTGATCTCCGTACCCAGTTCAGATAATTCTTCATCGGAGGGGGGCTTTTGGGTGGATTCGGATTCTGCGGTGCTGGGCTGCTGTTGTTGTTCTTCTGTGGCGTTGACGATGACGGCGAAGCGGTGGTTCTTCTTCCCGTTTGCGGCGGTGAGAATGGCGGTGTTGGGGAAATTGGTGATTGGATTTAGGGTGGATTTGATTGTTGTTGAGATGATTCGATAATTGGTGGATGTTCTTGCCGATGACGCAGGAAGAGATGGGGATGAAGTGAACTGTGAGAGAGAAAGTGCCATTTCTACAGCGTATGGTACACACCGGAAATTTGTGGGTAGATGATTTTGTAAACGATATACATATTTACGAAAATGGTCCTCGTAAAATCACACTGTTTCATTATAACTTGTAAGTGCATGTTTAAATTCTTGTTAATAAAATGAACAAAATATCGAAATTGGTTATTATAAATTCATAATCCATGTTACAGGAACTATTAAACAAATACAACTTATTATATTTGAATAAGATAATTATCGACAAAATCATTATATTAATATTGTGTTAAACAAATACAACTTATTATATTTGAATAAGATAATTATCGACAAAATCATTATATTAATATTGTGTTTACTCAAACTCTGTAGAAAAAACTGATTAAGTATGTTTTTCTAAAAGTTTAGTAAGGTTTACGTTAATAAACTATATGTAATAAGTTGACAAGCACAAAGTTAATATATTTGTATATTGGTTTTTTCGGTAACTAATCTATAATAGATTGTGGTTTTTCAATATTTTTTCTTGTTAATGGATAATCAAAATATGATCATCATGCTATGTCAACATGCCAAGTCACTAGATAATCAATCGGTTTGACAGATCAAAGGGTTAAAATTGTAACAAATTGAAAAATACGGTGTTAAATTTGAAAAACATAAAAACAGTGTCAAATTAGAATTTTTGTGTAAACTTAATGACTTTTATGTTATTTTCCCTTTATAAAACTAAAAAAATATAGATTAAATCAAGGATCATAAGATCTTAAAACACCTTTATAATCAAAATTGCATTTTAAGAAAATAACAAAAGTATAATTGTAAGATCTTAAAACACCTTTATAATCAAAATTGCATTTTAAGAAAATAACAAAAGTATAATTGAAGTATTATTGTTATCAAATATTATTAAATAAAAGTAATTTATAATTATAACACCTTCTATTTCTTTCCTTCATGTAACCAATCTATGACAATTAGATTTCAAGACTTTATGACTCGATCTACACATCAACATACAAGAGTCATAACGTGGACAACACAAGATCTCTTGTCTTGCTAAACCTAAGCCTAACCCTAAAAACTTTTAAAACGTTACACCACCACTTATTTCAAGTATACAAATACAAATTTCATCCATGTGCTGCATTATTAGGAGGATGTTGCTGTTGAATATCATATGCTAATGCACCTTGAGGCTGAGGTACAACTCCATGCCCATACTGAGGATCAACCATGTGATGTTGCTGCATCTCATATGGGCCATTGGGTAAAGCTCCAGACCCGTATTGTGGATCCACTCCACCCTGAACCTCGAACATGCCAAAATAGTAAATTTGTCTCTTTTTTTTTTCCTGAAATGTATATATAATCCATATTTGATAAAATTTGCAAATAATAAACAATTGCATACCTGATGCATGTTGTATGCATTCCCAACATAACCCATATCATGGTTCACAAATCCTGCACCATATCCTGTTCATGTTTCAAAATTAACAAAATATATAATACAAAATTTTAAAAAATAATAATAATAATGATAAGAACCATGGGTAGTTAATTATTACCTGTAGTAGCAGTTGCAGCTGCAGCCCTTGCTCTTTTATCTGCAAGTTCTTTATGTAACTTGTCAATTTCATGGGCCATAGACATCAAGCTTTTCTCCATTGCTTGGCTTTGTTCAAGGTTACTTGCATACACTTTTTTTTCATACTCAACTGCTGCCCTGTTTGCATAAACAGGGTCAAAAGTCAAAACTCAAATGCCAACAAAGTTATAACCCATTTTCACATAATGATGACATGGCAAAAAAGCATCGCAGGTCTTGGATGAGATGGATGAGATCAACACATCTTTTTCACACCCCCACCCCCTTCTTCTCCACCCAAGGAATCAAGATATAGCAATTCTAATGTTTATTCCAATTTTTTTGAGGATTGAAACACCCAACAGATTATCAGATTGATTGAAGTCGGCAAGGGGGTTTTGCTTTTGGATATGCCATTCAAGGAGAAGCTAAAGTTATCAATGAATTAGATTGAAGGTTAAGAGTTATGCTAATACTGAATGGGCCTCAAAGATTGGAAATTTGGAATGAAGTTTAGGTTTTTATTAAGGAAATATATATGAAGTATCAACAGTTACAATGGGGAAAGTTCCTAACAGCAACAATTAACAGATGATAAGGAAGATGATTACCTTCCTCTTGATAGTTCTTTGTGCATGGCTTCTATCTCCGCTTTGATCATGGGAACTTGATGTACTTTGGACCTTTCTTTCGTAAGGTCGCCGTGAACCTTATCTAACTTTTCATTAAGTTCTTTCCTCTCTGAACTCAATTTCTGTACATCTCCTCTGACCTGAATAAGCTCGGCACCTAATTCATCGGTCATTCTAGCTTCCGCCTCCATTTTGACGGCCTTCTCGTAGACCTCGCGCACTTCGGCATCTCTTTCGGCCTTGACATTGCCGGCAACGGAGGAGAGACGGCGAAGGTCCTGCAAAGCGCTAGAGAGGTCCTGCTTTAGGGCGACGTGAGTGGCGGCGAGGCGTTGGTTGTCGAGGAGGAGTGATTGGATTTCGCGGTGGTGGACGGCGATGCGGTCTTCGACCTGGTGGTGGCGCGGAGGAGATTCAATTGGCGCACGGCGAGAGTGAGAATCTTGTCTGAATTTTAATGCATCTGGTGGGATGTAATTCCTACCGGCCATTTGTGGATTGTTTTATGGTGGTTGCCGCAGTGCCGCCGTGTGC